TGATAAGAATCTGAGCTCACCATCTTATTTTATCATTTCTCTATATATGTGTGTTTATGTGTGCGCACACCCGCTAACTACACTATATATACTAACTACATCTTACCTCATAACTGCTTTTCCCTTGGTAGCTGCATAGTTGTTCCCACATCACTATTTGGTTTAGAAATTGCTTTCTTCATTGTATAACTCGTTACAACTTTGACCGTTCAAAAATATTAGTCTTTTTATAAGACCTTTACACAATGAAAATAAAAATTATAATCTCCTTCAAATAACACACATATCCTATTTATTAGTCTCTGTTTGCGTGAGATCTTTGCCTGTGCCGGGGTTTATCCGTGGACCGCCTCGGATCAGATCTGGTTGATAGAAGATTGATTAAAGCTCTTACTTCACAAAGGAAGTAATCGCTGAAGTGATAATCTCGACCCAGAGAGATTACGACTCTTCTCGAGATCAAGGACAAGCTTGATCTCAATGGGGTGGCTCAGATCCTTCGAAACGCTCATTTTTTATGTCGGAGTTCGCCAAAATCTGCTAGCCTCTCTCAAATTCGTCAGAATCTCGCCCTAGCTCCTCTAAAATTCGTTACTCCCTTAAGATCTACCTTTATGAAGGCGCTAGGGGTGTATTTATAGGCTTTAAATATCGTGTTTGTGGATAGGAATGTCGTGTTTGTGGATAGGGTCGAAGAACAACCGTTATTATCTGTTTAGGTAGGTTTTTGGTTGTGTAAAAGCTTCCACATGTTTAAGGATAATCTCACATGTTTATGGATGACCCCAAGGATTTCTAGAAGCCAATATTATCAGAAAACACGTCGGGAGCTGACCTGGTCGTGAGTCACTTCGACTGTCTTGCACATGTCCGAGACAGCTTGGACTGTCTTGGGTATTTTGGTCTTAACTCTTTCGTCCAACCTAGGAATGAGATGATTTAAGATGCGTTGGAAATCTAACAAAGAGACCTACAACTTTTGTTTTTTGAGATTCTTTAGATTCGAATCGTATCATGGCCAAAATGTGCAAGACATAATTAATGTCTCGTAGGTGCGAAATAGTCTGGACTGTCTCGGGTATTTTAGCTCTAACTCCCTCATCCAACCTCGAAATGTAGTGATCTAAGGTGTGTTAGAAAGCTGTCACACCCCAATCCCACTGACCCATTAGCGCGTACAAGCTGTGGGACCCAGCAAGTGTAACGTGCTATTTGGCTCAAACCACTGCCAAAATCGACTAGCCGATGTTACACTTGAGTCTTTAGCTTCACTATATAAAGCCTTTAATTCCTTATTTTCCCACCGATGTAGGACTAAACTTCTGAGTCAGTGGGAAGTTACAAAAGCTTACGAATATCTCTATAACTTCCCATAGTTAATACACTTATGGGATGAGCAAGACACGAGTGGTACTTACTCCTTTGTGGGTGAAATGTAACCCCAAGTCGAGTCGCTTCTTCGTTATTGTACCATCACATTGATTTATATAATTTATCAACTTTCTTTTTGTATTTGTTAGATTCTCTATGATATCAGATAATTCTTCTTGATTTAGATAATGATGTTCATCGTCTTCTCTTCGTCTCGAACTACGTGCGGGAACCCATAGATAATTTTTAACACCTACAGATACCCCCTCCAAAGTATTTTAGTCTTTTTTCTTTTATAGAAGAGTCTGGAATACTTTAGATATGATATGCCCAGCCTTTAGTCGGTATAAAAGGACCTGTAATTAGCTTTAGTTCTCGACTTCTTTAATTTTTAGCATATTCAGTATTTTGTCGAATAGCTAAAAATTTTCTGGTGCTGCATTTATCGTCTAATAATTGTCAAAGTCTCCAACTAAAACTGATGTATTAGTTTCTGATCTTAGCTCGTGTCATTGAATCGACGTTGAACTAATTATCTTTGTCGGGGATTCACATCTGAATCGCGATCGAACTCCCTAGGATTATCCTTTGCTTTGGAATTGATCGAAGCCTTTATCAACTTTCTTTTTGTATTTGTTAGATTCTCTATGATATCAGATAATTCTTCTTGATTTAGATAATGATGTTCATCGTCTTCTCTTCGTCTCGAACTACGTGCGGGAACCCATAGATAATTTTTAACACCTACAGATACCCCCTCCAAAGTATTTTAGTCTTTTTTCTTTTATAGAAGAGTCTGGAATACTTTAGATATGATATGCCCAGCCTTTAGTCGGTATAAAAGGACCTGTAATTAGCTTTAGTTCTCGACTTCTTTAATTTTTAGCATATTCAGTATTTTGTCGAATAGCTAAAAATTTTCTGGTGCTGCATTTATCGTCTAATAATTGTCAAAGTCTCCAACTAAAACTGATGTATTAGTTTCTGATCTTAGCTCGTGTCATTGAATCGACGTTGAACTAATTATCTTTGTCGGGGATTCACATCTGAATCGCGATCGAACTCCCTAGGATTATCCTTTGCTTTGGAATTGATCGAAGCCTTGTTTTGGTGAAAATTGTCGACACATTGACCTTCATCGCAATATGTTGACTAGCGTTAACTCATGGCTACGCATTGACCATCGTTGACCGTTATTGCAACATGTGGCAATCCCAAGTGTAGAGGCTGCAATGCCAACTATTGAGGCTTGCTTCTTCTGCATGTATGGATTTCACCTTTATGTCCCGTTAGTTATTTACTTAACCACAAGGGAGTTTTGGTTGTAGGATTAGCTATTGGAGCTGAAACGGCTATCATTGCAAATGCTTTCAAAGTTCCTCGTGGAGACTTCGGCTGGAATTGATGTTGTCTTGGGCACTTAAGTTACGAGACCAACTAATGAAGCTAGTGTATCAATGACTATCGAACTTATAGGATTTTTGGCAAATCCTCAGCCATCAATGGATTTGATAAGCATTTACCAACTACCGTTTGAGTCGGGCTAGCATGCGGATCATCTAAGTCCGTTCCACATGTAACGTTGTGCTAAAAGAGTTAACTCTCTTAGACTTAGTGCTATGATGTTGAATACATAGACTTCACCATTGTTACGGGAATAGGATACTAGACAACGCGTATTGGGTGTAGACTTGAACAAACCTTTGATCTCGGGTTATCCTTAAGAATATTATGTGTAATATTTTTTAGGAACTTCCTGCTAGAAATAAGGGAAA